TAAAAAAAAAAATTTATATATATATATATATATATATATATATATATATATATATATATATTAATTGATGGAAAAAAAAAACGAAAATTCAATGGGTATTTTATGGTCAGAACGAGGGGGAGTTCGTCTTGTAGTTGAGTGTGTCGTTACGTAAAAATGGATGCTTAAACCTTAAAAAATGGACCAACCATTGTATATATATTTAACCTTAACCACGAAAATGCAAAATAAAAATAAGCAGATTGTATCTAAAGAAATCCGCATGCCACTCACGCATTTGATTTTTTTATTTTTTTTTTGGGGGACTGGATTCAAATATTAATTTTGTCTTTTTCTTTTTTTTTTATATATATTATTTATTTTAAAAAATTTGTGTCTTCATTTTGAGTTTAGTAGATTAATAATAGTGTGTGGTATATCGAAACATGGCGTCCAAGGTTCAAAGGTTGTGGTAGATATTTTATGTTATAGTTTAATTTTCTTTCAATTATTAATTTTTTGGATTTGATTTTTTATTTTAAAAAACTTTATATCTTTTCATTTTTTTTATGTTGAATTTGGTTCATTTGGTATTCCACCTTTCATTAAAATAGATTTATTTTTTTTATAAAAAGTGTTTCCCAATTTTTTTATACATATTCAATTTTTACACGGAATACAATTTTGTTCAGTTATATTTAAATTAAAATGTCCATCCCTATATTAATATCTACTTGTGAATATGTCGTGAAAACTAAAATTTGCTTGCTTCGAGACAAAGGTTAGTTAAAATATTAAATCCATAGCTATATTATATAGTTTTAATTGATCCGGGTTTTATGCCCGGTAAGTATGTGAAAATGCTAAAAGTCCTATTTTTATCCATAATAATAATAATCCTGGAAAATAATTCCAAAAAAATAATAATTATATTCTTTCTTGTTCTCGTTATTTTTCGAACCAATGAATTTACATAACAAGTGTTCTGTTTTTCTTTTGGCACTTGAAGTGTTTCTTTAAAAAAAACTGATTAAATAAGGTTATATATATGTTATAAACATGATTAATCAAATAAATTAGTAATAATTAATGAATCCGACTCGGAAACTCACGTATCAAAATCTTATAAAATATGTACCACTAACGTCAGTGACGTAAAATGAATGGAATGTCTTGGAGTTCACCAACTTCGGTTTCTTATTTAAAAAATAATATATATATTCGCCATGTGATATTGGTAGGCCAATAATCCAACAAATGAATCTTATAACCAAAGTCAAAATATATAACTAATTTTCGCATTACCCGTCCTGTTATTATTAATATATTTATCCATATAATCTAAAAATAGGGAATAGGGAATAGGTGGAAATAAAGTATAAAATATATCTTTATAGCATGTAAAAATAATTAAGGGTTTGAGATAAATTAATGGGCACTAATTACAAATTATATGAGTAAAAGGGAATGTGCATGGGTAGCAAAATTATCACCTTTAACCACTCGTTCCATGATTATCTTCATCATATTGTTTCGCACACCATCCTCATATATACATATATACATATATATATATATTCTTTATATTATGTGATAGACGATGATTTTATTTATTATATCATATATCATTATTAAACATATACAAGGAAAAACAATTTATGGTGAAATTATATTAACTAACTCGTTATTTCTATCAATTATTTTGTAACAACCCAAATTTCGCTAGTTCGACGGGTGAAATCATTTTTTTGTATAATTTACTGTTAAAAGATAAAAAAAAAAGCTAGTATTTTTCAAAATATAATTTATTTTTACTATTTCAAATCTTATATTTTATGTATATTAAGTATAAGTCTAATCTATTTTAATTATATATAGCAGTAATAATAATAATAATAATGGTCTCAAATTGTGATATTTTGTATAAATATTACCATTTGGATTATATAACTCGGTTGCGTGATTAAATTAATAATAAATAAATAATATAAACTTTAAGAAGAAAAAATGTGTTTTTTTTATAGAAGAATTCCATTATATTAATAAAAAAAAACGGACAAGACAACTTAAATGGCTTGGGTGCTTCTCGTTCCGCCACACTACGAAGATGGATAGCTACGCGTCTCCCACTTATAAATGACTCATCGTCGAAGCGCACATTTCACAACCACCTTCTCCGACGCAAAATCACAACAGCTCACGATCAAAGCTTTTTTTTTTTTTTTTTTTTTTGGTGAGGAAAAAAAATCCCATGCAACGGAGTCACCAATCATTGGCGTCCACGTCAGACGTGCCTTCTCAAGTATCGACAGGGCTAACGAACGGTCCATAAAATGACGAAATTTTCATGTATTTATTTATTTCCCTTTTAAATACATTTAAATCTAATTAAGAATATCAATTGTTTTTTTTTTTGTGGATGGAGACTTCGCAATGAGCTTCTTCCACAAATTTTCAGATTTACCGAAATAAAAACTACGTGTTTTTTATTTTATTTTTATTTTATACGTTGCATGTTCCTCTCAAAAATCTTCCTTGTATATCTACTAACTAATGGTAGAGAAATAACTCCATTTAAAAAAAAAACTTGAATATTATGTGAATAACGAAATTATGGGTTTGCACAGATAATATACGATACCATTACGAAAACAAGTGTAGATAATAAAATTTCGAAATTACACAAATAGTTTCTAAGCATCCCACATAAACATAAATAACTCTTTAAAAATTCACAATTTCTTTACGTGACCATTCGGATCGGTTAATTGGGTTATTAACCGAACTGAACCGAATAAAAGTATTTCGGTTATTAACCGAACCGAGTCAAATAACCAATTGGTTACGATTTTTCAAAACCCGAAATAACCGAATCTGAACCGATTAAAAATTATTATCCGTTTGGTTATGAATTTTCAAAACCTAAATTAACCGAATCCGAATGAAACCGGACCGAACCGTTTATATATCTTCATTTATATATATTTTATATACATATATGAATGCCTATATTTTTAATTTAATTATTGTCTTATTATATTTTAAACGTATTTTATCATTGTT